ATCTCTCTCCAAGCTCTAGGCCTACTCATCCACCTCTGTCTAAAGAGGAAACATCTATTTGGATGTTTCCAAAAGCACCTTGAACATAATCCATTTAACACTGAATCTGCCAACTATCCTTCCTCCCCCAAATTCTTTCCTCTACAGTATTGTATTTCATTTTTAAAAAAATTTTTGAAGATTTTATTTTCTTCTTTAAAGTAATCTCTACACCCAATGTGGGGCCTGAGCTCACAACCCTGAGATCAAGCGTTGCACGCTCCTGCAACTGAGCCAGCCAGGTGCCCCAGTATTTTCTTTAATTAATTAATTTATATTTTACAGTTTATTTATTATTATTATTATTATTTCTTTTTAATAATCTCTACACCCAATATGGGGCTTGAACTCACCATCCTCAGATCAAATATCTCATGTTTTTCCTACTGAGCCAGCCAGGCACTCCCTCCTCTGCAGTATTTTAAACTCACTGCTTCATATCTTTTCCCATTGACTTACTCATAACGTAGTGTTACCTTTTCACGCCCTGCCTCCCCAAAGTCACCCGATCCCATAGTCCCTGCCTCCAAAGTCTTTCTCAAATCCTTCTACTTTTCTCACATCCCAGTGCCTCTACCCTAGGTCAGGCCATCATTCTTCTTACTAAACTGCCAACTGATCTGCTGTCTAGACTCTCTGCCTTGTCTAATCCTCTTTACTACAGCCTGAGTCATTCCTATAAACACTCCCTGTTATACCCCTTAGACATTCTCATTGTCCCTTAGAATTCTTTCTCCTGACTCCATACCCGGTACTGTCCAGCCATTAGATTCATAGCGCTAGACAGGCTAAAAAAGGGAAGCACTAAGATCAATTAGTTCAAATTTTCTGGGGTTCACCCTTGTCCCCATTGTGACTTCTGGTCCCTTTTCTGCTGCCTGGAAGCAGTATTGTCACCAGAGTAAGAGCCTCCTGTGGATACCACCCAATGGCTGAGCCAGTTCCCCTTTGAGGGCATGAGAGAACCACGGAACCCTAAAATGCACACTTCCAAAACCAAGACCTTCAGGGATTGGCTCTGAGTTTCATGTTTTCAACACAGGGATGGATGGAAGGAAAAGCTCCCTGACCTGAGAAGAATGTCTGTCTTGGGTTTCCTTTCCTTCAAGGGCTCCTTGCTTTAATTCTTGCCGTCCTACGCTTACCTTTTTCCTAGGATACACTCATCCACTTTAAAACCCAGGACCTCCTTAGAATAGCTGAGACAGGCTGGCCTTTTTCCAAAAGAATTTTACTACATAAGTTAATGAAAGAAAAGGAAAAAGAGAGAGAGTGAAAGAAGAAAGATACAGTCTTTTATCCAAAGCCTGGCATCTACTTTCAGATTAATTACATTCTACACTCCCCTGACCCACCCCCTCCACCCAAGTTCCTTTCCTGAGTTCAATTATCACAAAGCTTCCAAACTCTATGGCCATCTCCATAGATCCTAATGAAAATTTCTCTCCTCAGGGATGCCTGGGTGGCTCAGTCAGTTAAGCGGCTACCTTCAGCTCAGGTCATGATCCAGCATCCTGGGATTGAGTCCTGTGTTGGGGTCCTTGCTGGGCAGGGAGCCTGCTTCTCCCTCTGCCTGCCACTCTGCCTCCCTGTGCTCTCTCTCTCTGACAAATAAATAAATAAAATTTAAAAAAAAACAAACCACACAAAAACCAAACAAAAATGACTCCATCCTCAGACTGACAAAAACCAACTCTGTCCCATCTACTGCTTTCTTGACCATCCGTTTCTCTTCAGCTAAGTGGTGGGATGCTAGAAATTGACACAGGAAGGGTCTGGGCCCTTAGGTAATCCCTTATCACTATTCTTCAATTACAACAGCCATGTCGGGAAATTTTACCCACAGGAGGCTGGATTTGCCCTGGGATTTCTGGCAAGGTCTGAGAGACACCTCTTCTTTAGCAGTGAGGATGGCTGGAATAGAGAGAAGGGAACTAACATGTAGAAAGTTCTTAACATGTGCCAAATTCTTTATATAATTAAATTTTTAGCATAAGCTTTGGCCCTAGGTGTCAATCCCTAATCATATTTTGAAGAATTTGAGGCTCCGAGGGGTTGGAGTCTTGCTCTAGGTCTTAAAGCTAAACTGTCAAATTAGGAGTGAAGTTTGGGTTGGTTGAGGACATGGTTGTGACCTGAATCATGCAGCCTATGGAGATAGAGGTGCCTTTGCTGTCTTTGAAGGTTAAGACTTTTCCACCTTTTGTCTGATTTGAGGATTTCTTTTAATCTCCAAAATTCACTGAACTCCCACATGGCAGTTCCCCTTTGATATTCAGAGGTATGTAAGTTTCATAGACAAAGTACCTCGCATTCAACTCAGTACCTAGATCCCTAACCGTATCGAGCCCGTCATTCGTTGGTTATTTATGCTGTCAGATACTGAGCATGTCCTATGTAGAAGTCACTGGCCCAGGAGCTAGAGGTAGAAGAGGTTGAATATACAGAATCTGGAAGAAGGAAAGGCCCTGGGTTCTGGTGCCATCATCCTTCTTGCTTCTCCCCCCAAGTCTCTGAGGCCTTTCCTTGGGGGCTTCTGGATAAGGCTGCTCCTAAGGGGGAGGAGGTGGGTATGGATGGAGGGAGTTTTCTTGGCACCTTACGCCCATTTACTATAGTGAGTACAGTCACCACAAACACCTGGTAAGGTGCACAAAGCTGGGGAAATGAGACAGAAATACAGAACTAATAGAAATAGAGAAGTATTTTGAAGGGGAGAATTTGTTCATTTACTTGAAAATAATAGACAAACCCTCTAAAGCTTGTGATGCATTTCTTCGTGGTTTATGGTTTTCAGGGGGCCTTTTCACTTGGAGAAATTCTTCTGGGTTTAGAGAATGCTAGACCAGAGGAAAGGGCAGAATTATAATCCTAACACTGCTACCAGTTTGCTGGATGATTCCCGGAGAATTATTCAACCTATTTATGTGTCAGCACAGAAATGGAGAGAGTGATGTCAGATATGTCACAATATGTTTTCTGTGGGATCTCCAGTAAAAGGATTATGATAAACAACAGCTATTCTGTGTGCATAACAGAACACTTCTGCTTTTTTTTTCCCTCTGGTTCAGAAGAGCTGACACAGGCTCACATTGTACCCATGGCAAAAAACCCTTGGGAATTTGAAACTTTATGGAGTTAATAAAATCAACAGACACCTGTTATTTGCATAGTGCTCTATGCTGAATGGTTTATAAAGTATTTTCATATATTATCACAACTGATCCTCACCCCACCTGCAGAATGGAACTAAAGTTCCCATTTTATACCTGAAGAAACTTGGGTCACACAAATCATCCAGGTAATTCAGGCAAAGGTGACTTATTTTATTTTTTACTTTGCCTAAACTACATAGAAAATTATTCTGGTCACTTTAATAATTTGTGATAATGGACCATCACAAATGCCATCGCCATACAAACAAAACACAATCTTCTTTTCTAGGGACATTGCCCATCCTTGCACAGACCCCACACCCAGAGTCACCAACATGTAGCTACTGTAAATCACTAGCAACTCCAAACCCAGCCCACAACAGTGAGGGATCATCTTTTCCAGGATCATACAACAATGTCTGGGAGTAGTTTGGAATGGATTGGCTTTTTATTTTTTTTAATTTAAAACAAAATTTTTAAAAAGACTTATTGGAGAGTAAGAGAGTAGGCACAGGAGAGCATGGGGGTGGGGCCAGCAGGGGAGGGTAGGGGTAGGGGTAGAGAAAATCCCAAACAGGCTTTCCACTGAGCATGGAGCCCACCCGATCCCAGCCCCTGAGGTCATAACCTGAGCCAAAATCAAGAGTCAAATACTCAACTGACTGAGCCACCCAGGCGCCCTTGGTTGGCTTTTTAAAAAAGTTGTTTGCGTTCACTTGGGGGATTGCCAACTAAGATTCAACTCAGTTTGGTTTTTTGTTTGCTTCTGTGAGGGAATGGAGGCTGAGAACACAGGGAATGCTTAGAGAATTAGCATGGGAAAATAATGATTTAAAAGCTTTAGGCACATAACTAATTAGCAGTCCATCAATAGCAAGGTGACTGAAACTATCTGCCCCTTTGTGTGTGTGTGGGGGGGCGGTAATGGTAAACAGGTAGGGCCTTGCTCCCCTATTGGCAAAAAGGGCCGCTTGTCCTGGCGGGGCAGCACCATATATAGGCCTCTAGAGGCAAGGCCTCAGCGTGTGCGGGAGTGTGTTCTGTTCAGCCCAGTTTTGGGGTGAACGCTGATAGATCTGTCAATGCAGTTGGGGTGAACTTGGGAGGGGCTCAGTTTTTCTAGACTCGTCCCAGCAGGGTCTCTTCCCGGTGAAGCTGGTAGCACCTGGGGTCCTCCTGGCCCCAGGGTATGCAGGTTCCAGGCCCTCCGCATTAACATCACCGTGATGAAGGTGCTCTGCTGCGTGCACTTATTTGTTTCCAAGTGTTTGCCCCAGGCAGGCACCCACGTGCTCGAGGTCTCGCATACAAGGGCTCCCCAGGGACAGAGCAGAGAGTTAGACCTGTCTAGGGGTCGCCAGGTGACAGGGTACACTGGCGGGGTGGTATGGGCTCGGGAGAGTCTGAGCTCCTGCCCCCACCCCAATTATCCAACAGCTCCTGATCTGCGTTCGCCAGTACAGGCCTCCGCTTCGGCCACGACCCTTGCCCTAGGGTCCTCCACTTCCAGCGAGGGCCCCCGAACCGCCGCCCTCCCCAGGTCCCCGCAGGACCCGCAGCGACCTCCCCCGGCCCGGCACGGCCGTGCCTGCCCGTCGCTGGGGGCGGGAACCTACCCCCACCCCGCGGCGTCCCCTCCCCTTCACTTCCCCCTCCCCTCAGTCCCTCCCTCCCCTCCCCCCCGTGGCGAGGCGGCGGCGGCGGCGGCGGCGGCGGCGGCGGCGGCGGCCGAGGCCGAGGCTGAGGCTGAGGCGGCGGCGGCGGCGGGCGGGGCTCGGCTCGGGCTCCGCGGGCGGGCGGGCGGACATGGCGGCCAACATGTACCGGGTCGGAGGTAGGAAGGCTCGGCCCGACCCGGCCCGTCTGGGAGCGGGCTCCGGGAGTAGGGGATCCGGGCGAGTTCACCTTAACCGCCGGGAGCGGCGGGCGCCCGGGCCGAGGGCGCAGGGGCGGGGGGCGCCGGGGCCCGCAGAGGGGGCCGGGGCTCCCCACCCCCGCTACCCGCCCCTCCCCCGACCGTGGCCCGCCGGGGGCCGGCGCCCACCCTCCCCCTCCGCTCCCACCCCCGCTCAGTTTTCTAGGGCCAGGCCTGTACGTGGGGGGTGTGAATTCTCAGACGCCCCCTTCCAGGACACCCCCATTGGGTATCGGCCGTCGAGCCCCCTAATAGGGTGGTCTTTCCCCGCGTGGCTTTCAGGCAGTGGGGGGTTGGAGGGGACCGGGGAACATCTCCCTGGCTCTACTCCTCCCCTTCAGTGGGAGTGTGGGGTGGGGGCGATGGGGGCAGAGCCGGGGGCACAGCTGGACAGGCCTGTTTGCGGGGACAGGGCCCTGCACCTCTCCTTCCTCACTCCCCCTCCCGTTTCTTGCCCAGCCCCCCAAGATGGGGCATAGTGGGGCCGGGGCACTGCAGCCAGAGGTGGGGAGTTGAGCTCTGCCTGGACGTTTGCTCTGGTGACTGCCTCCTTCCCAACCTTCTGCAGAAGAGAGAAATAAGGTCAAACAAACTTTCTCCCTACTCACGATGCCCTCCTCCCTCTTTCTTGGTAAAATAATAATTCAGATAAGTGGCGTGTTTGTGTGTGAGACTTGCTCTTCTCTGCTCATTAGCTGAGCTCCTGATGGATGGTGGTGGGAATGGCCTGGACAAATGAGGCCAGTTTGCAGAAGAGAGACTGGAAAGAGCCACTAAGATAGACAATAACAATGCAGCCCAGCCTTTCAAATAAACACACAGTGGGAAGTTTCCAGGGAGCCTATTACATGAGAGGAAAAGCCACACTTGAAAATTTTTATCTTTTTCTATTGAAAGCCTGCAGTGATTTCTTTATAACAGGACCCTAAATGGATCTGATTAAATTTGGTAAAAGAGCCTAACAAAATCCCGATATCATCTCCAGAGAGTCCTTTCAGAAAGGGAACCCCCTTTCATGCCCACCCCCCAATCATCCCAAATAGAGCTGTGGAAAAGTTTGTCAATGTGTTTCCTCTCACTTACTCTGCTCACCTGATTTTTTTTTTTTAAGTTGGTGATTGAAATGTACTTTGGGCTGCTAAGCTTTTCAAGATGCTCTGAATTTGTCTTAGGTCAATAGTTTCATGTGAGAAGCATACTCCAGGGTAAATTGGATTGGAGGGAAAAGATGTGGAAGCAGTTATAGCATGAAAGACATGTTTAGTCAGCCCTGACTACTCGGTGATGAGAAGAGTCTTTTTGTTTATTAGTAAAGAAGTGATGTGTGGCTCGAAATACTAGGAGAACTTGATAGCACGTTAATTGAAATGAAAATGCCAGGAAAATAAGGGTCTGTGAATAGTAGGCATATGAGAAAATATATTAAAGTTGTATTGCTTTTCCCCGGGAATGAATTACGCGCTTCATTTTGAATGTGCATTGCCTAATAGAGAAAGTCATAGATTGACAAATGTGAACTTTCTGTTGAAAAGATTAATAAGCTCTTTACTTACTTTAATTACAGATTATGTCTACTTTGAGAATTCCTCCAGTAACCCGTACCTAATCAGAAGGATAGAAGAACTCAACAAGGTATATATACACTGAGTGTTCAGGATTTTAATATTAAAAAATAATTGTTTTCCATTGAAGGGTAATTAGGTAAAGGGCATAAGGGGTGATTTTACTTTCATTCCTAGACTCTTTGAAAGTAGCGATTGCAGAGTAGACAGTCATGCAGAATTCTGAATATTCTATTGCTTTGTATAATTACCTATGATATTAAATGTTACGAAGTATTTAACATCTGCAGATTTCCTCTGATTTGCTGAGAGCTTCTCAAGGCAGGGCACTCCTGTAACTCAGTCCCTTTTTACATTTAAAGTCATAATTGTTTTTCTCCTTTTTTGGTGGATTATTGTTTTCCTCTTCTAGCTTTAGAAGGAGGAAGCTAGGAAATAAAGTATTAAAGTGAATTTATAAAATTTTGGATTAGACTGACTAATAAGAATACAGTTTTGGTATAATGTAAAGTAGCTTCCTACTTTAGGCCTTAAGTAAATAAAACTTTTATATTAAGGTTTGTTTCTGATTGCTTGTGTCTAGGACATCAGAAACATTGTGACTTTGCAATAGGTGAGCTTTTATAATGGGGGCATATGAAAAGTCATAAACAGTATGAACCATGGATTACTAATGGTGCTCTGGTTTCCTCCCAACCAGCTTTGAAGGTTATTTTTATAGCTTATGAGAATTCCTAGTGTTAAAATGTTGGGGACTGTCTAGCTATACATTTCCCCCAAAGTACCATGTAGAGATTGGGCCAGTTCTGAGTCCCAGGAAGCAAAGTCTGATTTAGGGCATTTCTAGTTTATGAATGCTGAGTTTTGTTTGTTTGTTTAAAATTTTATTTATTTATTTGATGAAAAAGAGAGAGAGAGAGAGAGAGAGAGAGAGTGTGTGTGTGTGTGTGTGTGTGTGTGTGTAAGCAGAGGGAGTGGCAGGGAGAGGGAGAAGGAGGCTCCCCGCTGAGCAGGGAGCCTGATGTGGGGCTCTATCCCAGGACCCTGGGATCATGACCTGAGCCAAAGTCAGATGCTTTGCTGGCAGAGCCACCCAGGCACGCGATGAACCCTGAGATCTTGATTTGCTTCTGGAGAGATCCCCATGGACCTTGCATTTATAAAAATTCTGTTGTATTTGAGACCACCATCAGCAAATGAAGAGAATGGCTTTAGGATTAGATCAGTCTGTGGGTGGAAAATGTTGGAGCATTATTCTGATCTTCTCTTTTATGTTATTGACGTATAAGAGTGTAGCAACTTGAAACTGTTTATCAGTTTATTTAGAAAATTAATTAGGATACAAAGAAAAATGTTGGCCTATAAGATATATTCTCTGGCTGTTCCCTGTCCCTCTGACCTCCATTCTTACTGCTCTCCGCCTTGCTCATTTAGCTCCAAGCACAGTAGACTTTTGGCTGTTTTCACATGCATATACCTTAGGGCCACCAAGTTGTTTCTAATCCCCTGTGCCTTGCTCTGCCTTGCTCTTTTCTCCATATCATTTATCACCTTCCAGTATACTTCGTTATTGTGTTTATTTTCATTGCCCATTTTCCCAGACTAGAATGTAAGCTCTGTGTGAGGTGATCTTTGCTGTTCACTAGTGCATCCCAAGTGCCTTAGAATAAGTGACTGGCACATAGTTAAGGCGTTCAGTAAATATTTGTTGAATTAATGAATTTCTCAAATGTCTGACGTTAATGCTTGCATGTAGCTTTACTGTTTACAAAGTATTTTGATTCATTCATTTTACAGATATTTCTGAGGACCTGCTACCTGCCAGGCATTTTTAGATATGTGCTTTTAGGAATTCAAGGGTGAACAAAAATAGGTCTGGTAGTGGAGACAAGCATCAGCCAAATAATCCCACAAGTAGAAGGAAAATTGCAGCTGTGCTAAATTTGCAAACATCAGATCATGGTGTTCTGGAAGCATATGATCTGGGGATTCATATTTTTACTTTTTTTTTTTTTGAGCCTCAGAATAACCTTAAACCTTTAGGATAGATGCATCATGGAGTTGTGAAGGACACAGTGGTTAAGTGACTGGGTTGCACATCTGGCTTGAACCTGGCTCATTTCACACTCCTTTATCATTATATTACTCTTCACTCCAGAAGTATCCCTCACTCTCCATCCTCACCTTCTCCCTGGCTGTCTGCTTTCAGCAGAGAGTCCTTAATATATTAATGGGTTTTTTTTTTTTTTTAAGATTTTATTTATTTATTTGACAGAAATCACAAGTAGGCAGAGAGGCAGACAGAGAGAGAGGAGGAAGCAGGCTCCCTGCTAAGCAGAAAGCCCAATGTGGGGCTCGAACCCAGGACCTGGGATCATGACCTGAGCCGAAGGCAGCGGCTTAACCTACTGAGCCACCCAGGCGCCCCTATATTAATGGTTTTATGCAGGCTGGGGAGGACTGAATTATGAGAGAGGAGTCTGTACTTTCAGATGGTAGCAGTTTGAATGAATGGATTATTGGTGAATAAGTCAGATTGGCTAAATACTAAATATTTACATAGGGCCATTTAAAAAAAATTATTTATTTATTTGGAAGCAAGAGACTAAGCGAGAAAGAGAACATGAGCCGGGGGGAGGGGCAGAGGGAGACGCTGACTCCTTGCTGAGCAGGGAGCTTGATGTGGGGCTCCATCCTGGGACTCCAGCATCATGACCTGAGCCAAAGGCAGACGCTTAACCGACTGAGCCACCCAGGCATCCCATACATAGGGACTTTCTTTCTTTTTTTAAAAAGTGTTTTATTTATTTATTTGTCAGCTAGAGAGAGAAAGAGATAGTACAAGCAAGGGGAGCAGCAGGCAGAGGCAAAGGGAGAAGCAGGCTCCAGACTAAGCAAAGAGCCCAATGCAGGACTCGATCCTAGGACCCGAAGGCAGATACTCAACTGACTGAGCCACCCAGGCGTCTAATAGGGCCTTTATTTCTGAAATAATGTGGAAAAGATATCTCATTTTAAATAATTCATTAAACAAATATTTATTGAGTACCTGTTATGTACCAGGCACTAGACTAGGCTCAGATATACAACAGTGAACAATATGGATATGTTTTCTGCCCACACAGGGTCTCCATTCTCATGGGGGGTGGGTACATGAAAAGGCAAGTTAACAGGCATAAAGAAAATAGCAAAAATGATGTTACCTTTTTTTTTTTTTTTTTAAGATTTATGTATTTACTTGAGAGAAAAAATATGAGTAGGGGGAGAGGCAAAGGGAGAGGTAGAGAGAACCTCAAGCAGATGCTGTGCTGAGGAGGGAACTTGACTTGGGACTTGATCTCATGACCTGAACCAAAACCAAGAGTCAGAAGCTTAATAGACTGTGCCACCCAGGCATCCTGATGTTAACTTTTAAGAAGGACATAAACAAGAGCCTTGACTTAGGGAATAGCAGAGGTCCCTTCTTTTGGATAGAAAAGGAAAGGATTTCAAGGACATTGAAGTTGAGGCCTAAAGAATAAGAAAGAGGTAGCCATGGGAGAGAGGCCACATCAGTGTTCCAGATAAAGGCCCTGAGAGGATCAGAGGTTAAGTTGGCAAAGTGGGGAAAGTTAACATGATGGGAAATCCAAATAATGAATTTAAGAACACTTGATATATTCTAATCAAGCCAGGATAAGAAAAGACATTAACCTAGAGGCTCCTGGCTGGGTCATTTGGTAGAGCATGTGACTCTTTTTTTTTTTTTTTTTTTTTTTTTTAAAGATTTTACCCATTTACTTGACAGACAGAGACCACAGGTTGGCAGAGAGGCAGGCAGAGAGGGAGAGGAGGAAGCAGGCTCCCCGCTGAGCAGAGAGCCCGATGCGGAGCTCGATCCCAGGACCCTGGGATCATAACCTGAACTGAAGGCAGAGGCTTTAACCCACTGAGCCATCCAGGCGCCCCGAGCATGTGACTCTTGATCTTGGAGTCATGAGTTTGAGCCCTGCATTGGGTGTAGAGATTACTTAAGTCAAAAAAATTAAAAAAAAAAAAAAAAAAAGAAAGGACATTAACCTATTTTATTAACTATCTTCTTGGAGTTTATATATTTTTAGAAATCTCTGCACCCAAAGTGGGGCTTCAACTCAGGACCCTGAGATCAAAAACCAAATGCTCTGCTGACTGAGCCAGCCAGGAGCCAGGTGGCCCCTGTTAATTATCTTCTGGATAGAATGTGTTTTTGTAACAGAATTCCTAGGATAAGCTGTCAGTCACCATTGTTATAGACAATTCACTTTTTTTTTTTTTTAAGATTTTATTTATTCATTTGACAGAGCATAAGCAGGGGGAGCAGCAAGCAGAGGGAGAGGGAGAAGCAGGTTCCCCACTGAGCAGGGAGCCTAACGACTTGGAGATCAGGGCTCAATGGCTCCATCCCAGGAACCTGGGATCATGACCTGAGCTAAAAGGCAGATGCTCAACCAACTGGGCCACCCAGGTGCCCCCAAAATTCACCTTTACAGAATGGATTCTGGTTTTTAAAAAATCCTATTTGAAATGTTACTTGTTCAGGGGTGCTTGGGTGGCTCAGTGGGTTAAGCCTCTGCCTTCGGCTCAGGTCATGATCTCAGGGTCCTGGGATCGAGCCCCACATCGGGCTTTCTGCTCAGCAGGGAGACTGCATCCCCCCCCCCCCCCCCCCCCTCGGCCTGCCTCTCTGCCTACTTGTGATCTCCATCTGTCAAATAAATAAATAAAATCTTTAAAAAAAAAAAGAAAAAGAAATGTTACTTGTTCAGTTTGAAAGCTGGACTACAGTATTTCATTTTTTTAAATTACAGTAATAGCTTTTTTAAAAAGATACTATTTTTAAGTAATCTCTACACCCAACACGGGGCTCAGATGCACAACCTCGAGATCAAGAGTTGCACTCTCCACCAACTGAGTCAGCCAGATGTCCCTGGTAATAGATTTTTGTCTCAGTTTTTTTCCCTAAAAGTTTTGGAAACTTTTAGGTGCAAAAGTAAGTATCAGTTGATGAGCACAGTTCAACGTTGATTATCTTGTATTCCCTTTTTTCCTCTCTCCTAATTTGTACTCAGATATTATGAAGGTGATCTTTTGGAGGATGAATATAAGATTAAAATTATGAAAACAACTTTTGGTAAATTTTATTTAGTCACTGTTTAGGTTGGGTGTTCTTGTAAAGATTGTGTCTTGCATGCATGTGAGAGAAAGCTGTGGGCTCATAGTAACAGTATAGTTTCAGGAAGTTTTGGAAGTTAAGCTCGTGAAAAAATTAGCATGTTACTTGCTATTTTTGTTTTGTTTTTGATGCGTATTTTGTAAAACTTGTGTGTACCTTCATACTCTGTACATTTTATTGGTCATCTGACTTGTTCTGAGATTCATTTTACCGTTTTGTGCCTTCTGTCATTTTGGTTGGGAGAGGGGAGTCACTAATTTCTTTGAGTGTTTGATGATACCCTCTACCTCTATCTGCATTTGCACATAGAGGAATTTGCACATAGTTTCAGGAGATTCCCTCATGAAACCCAAGGTAAGACACCTCCTCCCACTTGGGATCTCTTGGGGATAAGGACAGAAATCGGGAAAGGAAAGTCACTTTTCCCTTGTTCTTTACTTTAGGCAAACCACGCACTTTCTGAAATGGAAAGTGTATGTGTAGTGGGTTTTTTGCTTTGTTTTTGTTTTAATAATGTTTCCTAAGTTGGGATAGAAACAGACATGAGTGAAAGGTTGACTAAAATGATTTTAGGGGCACCTGGGTGGCTCAGTGGGTTAAAGTCTCTGCCTTTGGCTCAGGTCATGATCCCAGGATCCTGAGATTGAGCCCCGCATCTGTCTCTCTGCTCAGCAGGGAGACTGCTTCCCCCTCTCTCTCTGCCTGCCTCTCTGCCTACTTGTGCTCTCTCTCTCTCTGTCCAATAAATAAATAAAATCTTTAAAAAAAAATTAAAAAAATGATTTTAGAGCTTAAGAAAAGCCCCTTATCGATAGAGGATATTTTAGTAAATGTGCTTGACAGAATAGGGATTTAAGAGGCTACAACCTAAATGGAGAAAAGAACATGGCAAGGAAATTGCTGTCATTGTGGCTTCATCTTTTTTATTTTTTTTAAGGATTTATTTATTTATTTGGGAGAGAGAGAGAGAGAGAGAGAGCTCCCATGCCCCATGAATGGTGGGGAGGGGCAGAGGGAGAGGGAAAGAGAATCTCCAGCAGATCCCCTGCTGAATGTGGAGCTGGACACTAGGGCTCCATCTCCAATCAACCGCTTAACCGACTACCCCACTCAGGCACCCCCCCCTTTTAAAAAATTTTTTAAACTTTTTTTTAATTTTAAGATTTTTATTTATTTATTTAACAGAAATCACAAGTAGGCAGAGAGGCAGGCAGAGAGAGGGGTAGCAGGCTCCCTACTGAGCAGAGAGCCCGATGTGGGGCTCAATCCCAGGACCCTGGGACCATGACCTGAGCCGAAGGCAGAGGCTTTAACCCACTGAGCCACCCAGGCACCCTTCATGCCACCCCTTTTATGTTTTTAAGTAATCTCTCCATCCAGTGTGGGGCTTAAACTCACGACTCTGAGATCAAGAGTCGCATGCTCTACCAACTGAGCCAGCCAGGAGCTCCTAACCTAGGTGTTCAGAGCGGTACATGGCAAACTATTTGTGCTGAAAGATTTTTAAGAAGATTCACTATCTCAAACTGCTTTTATAAAGTAAAATTAAAAAGAAAATAAAAAATGAAGTTCACAAGTCTTCTTTTTCTTTTTTCTTTTTTATTTTTTTTTAAGATTTTATCCATTTATTTGACAGAGAGAACACAAGTAGGCAGAGGCAGGCGGGGGGGCAGGGTGGTGGGGGAAGCAGGCTCCCCGCTGAGCAGAGAGCTGGATGCGGGCCTCGATCCCAGGACCCTGAGATCATGACCTGAGCCGAAGGCAGAGGCTTAACCCAGTGAGCCACCCAGGCACCCAACAAGTCTTCATTTTTCATTATTAGGTTCAGTAAGTTAAATTTTACCAAATGCTCTAATACACATTCTCAATCTCTGTTCTCATTTCATTATGCAGCAGGAGTTGTAGACTGGGCCTTGGACCACAGTTTGAGTAGCTTAACTTTAGAGGCATGCTTGAAAGGGGGGGGGGGGGGGTGTGTGTGTGTGTGTGTGTGTGTGTGTGTGTGTGTGTGTGTGTGTAGAGGGAAAGAGGAATACTGTAATTATAAAATACCTAATAGCTAAGCGTGTGCATCGTTTAGAAGAGACTGTTTATTTTGAACTATGCCCCTCTACCTCAAGCAGGTTTAAATAAGAATTTAATTAGTTTTGTAGAGTATTCCTAGTGGAGGAACTCACTAGAGAGGTAGGGAAAAATATGCCTTTAAATGCTTGCTTTGGGTTTTGAACATGCTTTTGTCTTAAAACAGAACTGATAAAGAGCTTGTAATCATAGTCATTTGATAGATTTTATTTACAAGAAATACTAGCCTGTTCATTTATTAGATTGCTGGATCATTACTTTTGGAGGATGTATTTGATCACAATATTGTGAAATATAGAAGCACTTTGGTTAGGATTTAATATGATTTCAATTCAAAGGGACAATATTTCTCCATGACTATTTCTCACTCTAAAATACTGCTGCTGAACTTCATAAAATCGACACATTTACTGCAGCATATGTATATTCTTATTTCTTTATGTCTGAATATACCCGTAAGTCCAGAGAAATTCTGAAAATTTGTTCTCAAATTTTTTGGAAAACTGGAATTTGACTGTAATCTATGTGTTTCTACAAGGAACTTCATAATGAATGATTGACCTTGAAAGTTCTCAGAATTCATAAGGAATAGGAGAGTAGGAGCCTGGGCCCCAGCTGCAGTAAATTACAACCTAACTGAATATTGGTTCTATTCTAGACAGTAGTCAAAAATAAATAAGAGCTTCAGTGTTCCTAACTCAAAGTTTTTAATACTTTCACTTGTGAAGATAAAGAAACCGAGAATATTGACTATTACGGATTCATAGATGTATCTGGGCTGGAGAATGCTTTTCTGAGTGGTCTGTTCCATTCTGGGCGATGGCTCCCCGCATTCACAGAGCTTCACCATCATGTTGAGGAGGGGGCTGCGTGATTTTACTCTTAGCCTATGCTTCTGGGAGTGGGTTTGGAGGAGATATGTTTAACTGTCTTAAATAAGTTACATTGTGGCTTTTAAAATTTGGGGTACTAGTTTCTCAAGGCTGATCAGATTTCACTCTCTGGCTCATTAAAGCGATCTGATCACTTTAGTTTAATTAATGCCAGTAAGTTATTGTATGTTTGACATTTCGGTTTCACTTGAAACCTTTGCGAATGCTGCTTATCCTCATTTAAATTTTTTAGCTCTCTGATTATCCCGCAGTTGGGGTTGGCACACTATAAATGAGTGTTCTTATAATTGTATTGTATTTAGTTTTGTTTTATAAACTATTTGAGTCTACTATTCAGTACACATAACTTTTATTTTTCTTATTTCTTAGACTGCAACTGGCAACGTGGAAGCAAAAGTAGTGTGCTTTTATAGACGACGAGATATTTCGAACACGCTTATAATGCTTGCAGACAAGCATGCTAGTAAGTTAATTGTCTTTTTAATTTTTTTTGGAAAATTAAAAAATGTTTTAAGGTTTTTGTTTTCTGTGATAGGAGAAAAAATACTTTTTGTATCACATGTAGCTTTTTGCTTTCCCATTTGTCTTCCTCTTAGTTTAGATGGGAATAATTTTTTGGGTGGTGCTCAGTTTTTAGTATGTATTTTCTTAGGTTGCACCACATGTATATTAGTCAATACATTGAAATAGAACTCTTTGTAAGTAGGCTTCCGCAGACAATCAGGGTAGTGTTTTGCCATCTGCAATTTTCAGTGGTGGTTTTGAAAAGATTTAAATATGAGGACATTTGTACTTTATTGGTATTTTGGAGGACATTTTTCCCCTTCTAAAGCAACTGGGTAATAGTTACATTTTAAAAAGTTCTAATTATTTATTATATGTATATAGAATTAGGTATGTATGAGAAAAAGGTTTGTCAGAAAAAGAAGTGCAAAGTGATATTTAGATATGGTGAATTCCTGTAGATAGCAACTCTGAGCCCTTGTTTGTAGATTAACCTTTATTTTATGTTTTTCCCCCATTCAACAGCTTTGACATATTTTAGCTCCTTTTGTTATTTTTTTATTTTAAAATTTTTCATTTTACTTATCTCTTAAAAGATTTTATTTTTAAGAAATCTCTATACTGGGAGCACCTGGGTGGTTCAGTGGGTTAAGCCTCTGCTCATGTCATGATCTCAGGGTCCTGGGATCAAGCCCTGTGTTGGGCTCTCTGCTTGGTGGGAAGCCTGCTCCCCCCCGACCCCCGCCTGCTTCTCTGCCTACTTGTGATCTCTGTCAAATAAATAAATACAATCTTTAAAAAAAAAAAAAATCTCTGCACCCAACATGGGGCTTGAACTCACAACCCCGAGATCAAGAGTCACATACTCTGCTGACTGGGCCAGCAGGTGTTCTACCCCTTTGAGTTTTAAAATGACAAACCGAATCATGAAAAAAAAAAGTGATTTAAATTTTAAGAAAGAAGAAATATGTGGAATATGAGTACTTTATTTTGAAGCCATTTTCATTCTACAAAATATATGAGACTAGGACCATATGTATGTGTCTTTTTCAGTTTGACACTGATTTGTAATGCTCTGGTCTTGTAGATCCTGAAGCTTTTGAAGGTTTTGGTAAGGGAGGCTATCATGTGCACAGGTTTGTTCTGTGTCTGTTTGATAATCACTTCTCCACTGGATCACTGGTTTGATCAGGCAGATTGGTTGTTGCATAAGTTAAATTCCTACTATATTTTCTGCTGTAGTTCATAGTGTTTTCTTTTTTTTAAAGATTTTATTTTTTTATTTATTTGAGAGAGAGAGAGAGAGAAAGTGTGGGGGCGGGGCAGAGGGAGAGGGAGAGGGAGAGAGAATTCCAAGCTGACTCCGAGCTGAGTGTGGAGCTCAAGTCCAGAACCCTAAGACCATGACCTGAGCTGAAATCAGGAGTCAGACACCTAACCACTGAGCCACACAGGTGCCCATGTAGTTCATAGTCTTTTAAAATTTCTTTCTATTTTTTTTCTTTAGAAAGAATGATATGAGTTCCATAATATTTATAATTTATATATTGACAGATTTAGGGCATTTATATCTGTGTGTGAGACCAAAATACTCCTTTTTTTTTTTTTTTAAGATTTTATTTATATATTTGACAGGCAGAGATCACAAGCAGGCAGAGGCAGGCAGAGAGAGAGGAGGAAGCAGGCTCCCTGCTGAGCAGAGAACCCGATGTGGGGTTTGATCCCAGGACCCGGGATCATGACCTGAGCCGAAGGCAGAGGTTTTAACCCACTGAGCCACCCAGGCGCCCCCCAAAATACTCCTTTTTCAAATGACATACTAATCAGTTATTTTAGCTGTAGCTAAAGTTTATGAATTCAGTGTGTTGTAATAGTGGTTTTGCAAAATTATTTGGATTTTATTTACCATTTACAACATAAGCTTAAGAAAAATAAAATGTCTCGGGGCACCTGGGTGCCTCAGTGGGTTAAAGCCTCTGCCTTCGGCTCAGGTCATGATCCCAGGGTCCTGGGATCGAGCCCCGCATCAGGCTCTCTGCTCCTCAGGGAGCCTGCTTCCTCCTCTCTCTCTGCCTGCCTCTCTGCCTACTTCTGATCTCTCTCTGTGTCAAATAAATAAAATCTTTAAGGGCGCCTGGGTGGCTCAGTGGGTTAAAACCACTGCCTTCGGATCGAGCCCCGCATTGGGCTCTCTGCTCAGCAGGGAGCCTGCTTCCCTTCCTCTCTCTCTCTCTGCCTGCCTCTCTGCCTACTTGTGATCTCTGTCTGTCAAATAAATAAATAAAATTAAAAAAAAATAAAATCTTTAAAAAAAAAAGAAAAAGAAAATGTCTCATTAATACTCATATACTTCTGGATTTAATTTAGCTTTTAATGTAGCTTCTAAAGTTGCTGCAGCAAAGGTAGTGTAGTATAAAGATTGTTAGGGGGTCTGCTGACTGTTCATGGAAGCTTGTAGATGTAGAAAATCAGAATTGATTAGCCTCTTGGTATTGACTCTTAGAAACTAAATTTAAGGGGCGCCTGGGTGGCTCAGTGGGTTAGGCCGCTGCCTTCGGCTCGGGTCATGATCTCAGGGTCCTGGGATCAAGTCCCGCATCGGGCTCTCTGCTCGGCGGGGAGCCTGCTTCCCTCTCTCTCTCTCTGCCTGCCTGCCTCTCTGTCTACTTGTGATCTCTGTCAAATAAATAAATAAAATCTTTAAAAAAAAAAAAACAAACAAACAAAAAAAGAAACTAAATTTAAGAGATTTAAGAGTCAATCAAATAATATAATGGCAAGCATGTAGTTTAGAGAAAGTCCTGGGTTCAGATTCTGCTTTGCTAGTTTGCTGCTTTGTCTTGGGAAAATTTTTTTTTTTTTTTTTTTTAGATTTTATTTATTTATTTGACAGAGAGAAATCACAAGTAAGCAGAGAGGCAGGAAGAGAGAGAGGAGGAAGCAGGCTCCCTGCTGAGCAGAAAGCCCGATGTGGGGCTCGAACCCAGGACCTGGGATCATGACCTGAGCCGAAAGCAGCGGCTTAACCCACTGAGCCACCCAGGTGCCCCATGTCTTGGGAAAATTCTTAATTTCTTATTTCCATTCTCCTCATGTGTAAAATGAGATTGAAAAAAAATCACCTCATTTGTGTTATATATATATTTTACCAAAATTAGAAAAAATTGTGCCAGCATTGATGTGAGGATTAAATGATCTAAGGACATAAATAGGTGCTTAATAAACATCAATTGGTTTTTCTACCTCCTCAGCAATTTGTAGATCACTTCTTTGGGTGGATTACCTCTGTCTGCATTTGTCAGTTTCTTCCATCATTTACTGAGTTTACTCTCAAAGGTGGCGTCGGAAGTATCTTACTGTATTTCCATTTGGTATTGACCAAAATTTCAGGTGGGGAGAATAAAACTGCTTGGATAGTTCTTACTCTATAAGAAGGTTTTAAAGGAGGATTATTGGAGAGAGAGTCATACATTGGAAAGATTTCAAAGCTGAACTCCTGGGTGTGGTTGCCACTTAATTTTCCTGAGCCTCAGTTTCTCTGTTTAAAAACCTTTCCATTGTGGACTTCTTTAAACCTTTTTATTACAGAAAATTCCAAACATCCAGAAGTACAGATAATAGTATAATACCCCTGATGTTTCCATTACTTTTCTTTAATAGTTATCAACAAATGACCAATTAACTCGTCCGTACCCCTTCACATCCCCCTATTTTGAAGCTCATCAGCGATATCTTACCATTTCATCTGTTAATATTGCAGTATGTATTTCTAAAAGATACGGTGTCATTCAGAGTGCCAAGAATATACAGGGAACTCCCGCATACTCTTTATCCAGAGTCAGCAATTAACATTTTGTCCTATTGACTTTATCATTCTTTTTATATGTATAAACTGAGTTGTTTGAGAGTAAGTTGGAGACTTCAGTTAGCTTTTCCAAATGCAAGGAAATTGTTTTACATAATCACAGTAGAGTAAACAAGTCAGGAAACCTAATATTCACACAAAACCATTATTCAGGGTTACCTGGGTGGCTCAGTCCTTAAGCGTATGCCTTCTGCTTGGGTCATGATCCCAGGGTCCTGGGATCGAGCCCTGCATCTGGGCTCCCTGCTTGACAGGAGGCCTGCTTATTTCTCTCCCGCTTTTCCTGCTTGTGTTCCCTCTCTCACGGTCTCTCTCTCTCTCTCTCTCTCTCTCTCTGTCAAATAAATAAATAAATAAATGAATAAATAAAATCTTTTAAAACAAAAAACAGGAATGCCTGGGTGGCTGAGAGGGTTAAAGCCTCTGCCTCTGGCTCTCTGCTCAGCAGGGCTTCCCCCCCTCTCTCTGCCTGCCTCTCTGCCTACTTGTGATCTCTGTCTGTCAAATAAATAAATAAAATCTTAAAAAAAAAACCCACAAAAAAAACCCCATTATTCATAGTCCTTAATCAAATTTCATGTACCAGTGGTGTTCTTTATAGCTATATATATTTTTTCTTAGTTTACAGTAAAATCCAGACTCATTGTACTTTATTGTCGCTTCTCCTTGTTATGGAACCAGTTTGTGTCTTTGTGTTTTCTGACCTTAATATTTTTGAAGAAAACAGGCCAGTTATTTTGTAGAATAATGCTCAATTTGTGTTCATCTCATGTTTTCTCATGATTAGATTCAGGTTATGTTATGTTCTTTTTTGCAGGCTATTTTTTTTTTTTTTTTTTTTAGGGATGCCACGGAAGTCATGTTGTGTCCCTCTCAGTGTATTGTATTAAGAGGCACATAATTGGTTTGTCTTAATATTGGTTATGTTAGGTTCGATGACTTGGTCAAGGTGGTGTCCCTTTGTATTTAGTAAGTTCTTTTGAGGGGGATACTTGGCAACTATGTGGTCAATCTTTAACTTACTCATTTTTCTTTGATTATTTAGGATTCTGTAAACAGTATTATCAAATATCTACTTAGTTTTCATGTTTTTT